CATTATTTAATGTTTTTATGATTTTATTGTTTCCACCTTTTGGACTCAATCGTGTTAACTAACCAATATGACAAGAGTCCGTTCCTTTTGTAAACATTTCTTGCGATATTTTAAACCATATCACCATAAAACTCCGTTAGGGAAAAAATACCTTTACCGTATTACACGCGATAATAAACTGCTGCCATCCAGTAGCTCTTTATTCATTATTATCCTCCCGGAAGTCCTGCGACCCAGCTGTGAGAAACCGGATGTCACAGCATATCCTTTGTACACGTAATGGTCTTGTCCATCTAGGATAATAGTCAAACCTCTACATGACGTCCTTCTCCGACAAAAGCGCAATATTAAATTTTTATTTTTTCTACTGACTTGTTTTTCGTGTTTTTACCTGTTTGTAACAGGCTTGAAAACGGTAAGGATTTAAAATTTACCGACAAAGGACTATATAATGTATCCTTTAAACAAATTATTTCGGATAAGCCAGTTTTACTGTCATGTTGTAAATAGTGGGTGAGATATTTATTTCAAAAAATTATCGGTGGTCGTTCATCCTCTTTAGATTTTTTTTGTAGTTTAAAAGTTGTTCATTGATATATTTTTGAATTCTAAAAGAAAATATAGTAAAGTATAAAGTAAATATAGGTACAGCAGGAATAGAAATTAATTTGAAAGTAAAAGCGAAACATTGGCGTAGAAAATTTTGCTTAAATAAATCAATAAATTATAAATAGCTGTTGAAATTTTATAGAATTGTGATTTGGATAATTTCATACTAGTTTAAATAAGTAATTGTACGTTTGTCCGATTCCGCCGGTGTTATTTTTATTCCATGATACGTCACTGGCGAACAAACTTACCGCGAAATTCTCGAAGTCCCACGACGGAGTTTGACGTTTATCACTTCTGTAGAATTTATGTTTGATGTTATAAATCTTTTCTCATCGTTGTAAGATAATGCAACTTAATTTTTTATTTCAGTATATATATTAACGTACTTCTAAATGAATTCATTTTTCTAAATATCTTACCCCACCTTCTACAATTTTTTGGTAATCCGCCATGTTTAAGCTGTTTTGTATTACACTTTTTTTTACTCCCTTAGCGATTTTGGTTTCTTTTTCATATGATCTAATATAATAGGCCTTGATCTCTAAAAATTTGCTGATAGCCTGATTTGGATACTCATCTTTGAAATTTTCCAATATTGGTTTAGTTACTGGGAGATTAAATTTATTATCCGCTTTATAATTAGATGTGTCGAAATGATTAAATTAACTTTAAACACAAAACTATCAGTACCTACGTAAAGTAAGGAAACTTTATCGCCTAATTGCTGTTTTGATATGCCGTAATAGAAATCATACATTCTTTACTTTTGACAACTCCAACACTGTGAAACCTACGTACAGTGGTTTGTTATAACATATTTTAGTTCTACCATATGTGTAGCCACAAAGTTATGTGAAAATATGGAACAACAATTAAAATTCGGTCTAGCAATTAAGTTGTTCGTCCTCGGGGAATTTCTTTTACTAGCCCAGTGAGTTTTAAGGTAAACATCGCGTCTGTCATCCACATTTTCCATAGTTTTCCCGTACACACTATTGACCAGTCGCTTAAAATGTATATATTTTTTCAGCCAACGAGACTGCTTAAACTTAAGGGCGCGATGAATTTTAGTTACAATTAGTTCATTATTTATGGCCTGTTTGAAGTTTCTATAGTGTAATATGTATTTGTCTTTATGATTCAAATTGGTAACCAGTTTAGGGATTTCTGTTTTGGAATTAAGTGGAACTCTACTAAAATTGGTAAATCGGTATGTTTATCATGAAGGTGAAGCAGATATGTTACATCAACTTCTAATACATAACCATAATCCCCGAGATAATCAACTGACATAACATCGAGTTGATTAATTCCTTCAGTCGATAACCAAACAAATTCTACCTACCAAAAGCTTTTTCAACTTATGTCTCTGCTATACTTACAATTTTTTAATGTAATTCGATAGAAGATGGGAGGAAATGAAAGAAATTAGAATAATGAAAGATAAGACATGATAAAAATGAAACAAAATAGGTAAAATGAATAAACTAAATGCAAAAGAGGGGAAGTTGAAAAGGTTATAAGCAATGTAATATTTAAGAAAGCAAACTAGCAAGATAACTAGAAATCAAAAATAATAATAATAATAATAAGGGGTATGCGGGACAAATACGGTTGGCAACATTGTGCCGAAACTGACCCAGAGTAACGAAAAAAATAATTTTATCGAATAAAAAGGGGAAAGTTTAATACCTAACCATATGAAATAATACGTTAATATACATTCACCGCTATTAATATCACTTTTATTTGGAATTGGTATTATCTGGCACTTAACAGTAGATACACATTGGCTTTAAAGTTTTCAATAAAAATTAATTTAACCTTAAAACTTGTACTTAGTATTAAGAATACGTGTACCTACCACCCTGTATATTTCGTAAAATATAACCTTTAGTAAGAACAAGAACGCTTTTAATCTTTGTTAATTAATTTACAAAAACAACATAAATGATCCAGTTAGTTATTCGGAATCCACCCGAACACAGATTAGAATCTCGAAAGCGACCTTTAAACTTGACCTTTACCAAAATGCGTTTGACAGGCAGCGGATTAAACGTTTGGCCGTTTAAATTCGATATGGCACTCGTCCAAGTTCTCACCGCGTTATTCTAGTCAAGGATTCAAAAATTGCATCACTCCCATGCTCATTATCGATTTCCCAATAGCTTATAGCACTCTCGTTCGATCTGCGATCTAGCGTTCTCTCTCTCCATATCGCGTTGTGTCTCGGTCTGTCTTCCATCGGCCGGGCTTGTTGGGAAATTTCGTTTCATTTCTCAAAGAATTTTACCGCAACGATTTCATTATACACGTTACATTATATGTATTACATGGCGTCAAGTGTACTTGATTTTGTAACTTTAAAGATCTGGGCTGTGCGGCTTTTGTAAACATTTTCTGCGTTGGTTATCTTAATGAAAATATATTTTTAGTTTTCTTCCGTAATCATACAATATAGCTTTTAAAATGATAACAATTTAACATTTCCATACATTAAAATGATGAGCAAAGTGAAATCGTCAGATAAATGAAGCATATGCTTTAACATTTTTTTGAGTAGCACCCCTATTTTTAACTTATGGCTCTTATTGTAATATGAGCCATTTCATTATTCAGGCATGCTCTAATCCTCCAAGTCCCTCTCTGTCTTATTTGGCTTTTGAGGCTCAACTTGTCCGATTATCATATAAAATTAAACCCCTTAGAACCCCGTAGAATGTGATAATGTTTCTAGTTTTGGCGGAGATCATTCTCGAATCCACCAGAACTTTAAATCTGTATAAAAATATTGGTGGAGGAACAACTGAGCAGTCAGTTGTATATAGACAGTGAAGATAAATAGTGAACAGTTTAAAGACTTTCGAAATAAATTAGAATAGTATTGTTTTAAAATAAATACGTGTTTAAATAAATTATTAATAAATAAACTCTTGTTTAAAATAAACAAACATTACATTATATTAAAACTAAAAGATTTTAGTTTAGTGAGCTGGGGGCTGGAGACTTATACGCTGTTATTAATTTTTGTTAACGAATGTCATTTCTATGTTGCTTATTTTTTTTAGCTCAATATCCTTAAAATCAATTTAGTAATATATTTAAATGTGTGAAGTGTTTTAGTAGGTTTTGTTTTCTTTTCGTCTTAAATATATGTTCTTTAGTTAATTTATTTTAATGTTGTATATTAATTATGTAAATTTATTTTTTTTAATTTAAAAGCTTACATTTTTATAAACACATTCACTCTGTGTAATACTTTTGACAACACTTTTTCTAAGCGTCCGTGTAATTTGGCACAAAAATACCCGACACCCAATTTAATCCACTTTCTCTCTAACTGAGATTATTTTTAGAATAAAACGCGAACAATATGGCAAGCCATCGATCTTTTTTCGCACGTACACCGGATATTCTCGTATATAAATGACGGATCTATTTTCGAAAAGAATTTTTGACGTCACCCACATACTTATAGATGAAAAGCAGTTTCCTGTGTGTAAATAAATCATTTTTTTTGAGTGGATTTTTCGTAGACCCGCGACCTCTGATATCGATGATTCCTCTCATTTGCAACCGGATATTGTTATTGAGATTGAGCAAGAAACGTTTAATTCTGATTTCTGATTGATTGATTGGTTTATCTTTGTTGCGCCGAGAGACAGGAAATGAATTGACTATTGTTCGTTTGCGGCGTAAGGTCGCTACTTTTTAAATTATCGTTTTCGTGGTGTAATTAAACGAAGAGAAACAAAAAAGAGGTAACATCCATACAAAATAAAAATAAATGTTCTTCTCATTAACATCCATGATCGTTGTTCGTTGTTCTTTTTCTGAATGTGTGAACAATATTTTTTTTTTCTATTTTACTTCGTTTTTTATTAAAAACAGTAAAAGCTGTTTTATTGTCCGAAAAAATAATGTAATTATCGAAGAAATAAAGAAAAAAAAAATGACATTTGAACCATGGTTTATAAATCAAACTATCACTATATTTCATGTAGATTTTCGCTTAACATTAAGGAACACCCTGTATAATATTTATCCCTGACTAATCACAAAAACACTATTTTTATTGTTGATTTGTCATCTGTTATGTCGTATTGATGTTGGTAATACTGTTAACAGTTTGTGACAACTGACAGGTCGCGCATGTCCAGATAAAAAGTTTTCTGAAAATATATATATATTTTTTAATTTCACTGTTTAAGTATATTTTCTATCAAATAAAGTCGCAATTTGCTCTAATACTACGGATTTAAATCAGTATTCTTCTATACATGCAATTTTCTATAAATATACAGGGTGTCCCAAAATGTCTAGGACATAGAAACTACCAAGTACCGAAATGTACCAGACTAATAAAACAAAAATATCATAAAACTTACCGATGCTGATCGGCGAATACGAACTTCCTCAATTTCAAATCCCTAAGAACGATTCCGTTTTCGTGGCAAACTTGGACGGTCTCGGCGATTTGGCGAAACAGCTTTTTGGCCTCCGATTCGCGAAGTCGCTTCCTCGACCTGACGTACGAATGCAGATCGCCGTGCGCTTTCGGGAATATCAGGTACAGGTAGCGATTTCTCGCTATCACTTCGTGAATGGAGGATATGCGGGAGTTGAAGTCTAATTTGTAGTGAGCAGATACCAGCGAATGGCTCTCCCGCGATACGATCTGTAAACAAAGGATAATATATAACGATAAGTTAGGTCAATTTTTTGGACATAGAGTTATCGAAAATTGGTTTCATACATCAGTTATCAGGGCTGAATTTGAATCGCCTCGCCCGCCCACTTGTTGCTTACTTATTGATTTGAGAATTCACAGTAATTTCTTTATTGTTTAGTGATGAATCAGGTATTAAAAACAATGTGTTGTACGGTTTTAGTTTGTAGTGTATGATATAATTAGAGTATAATTTTATTTAATTACTTGTCAAATTAAAGGAAATGTCATAATACATTTTAAACACTAAGTCAATATATTATAAGAAGTAACATCTACATAATTCTTCGATAATTCTGTATTTAGAGAGAACATTTTTTGGTAATAGGACATACGAGATAACAAGTCAACAAATTTTAATTACACTTTTTCTCACAACTTTCTAAAAACAAACTATTATTCGTACTTCTACGAACAATATAAATACATTTGCTTTGTGATTCGTGTCTTAACAACAATCTTTCCGAAAACGTTCATTGTATCCTCTATTTCGATGCGGTATCACGTAGTCTCTTCGCAGTGGGGTATTTAGGGGTAAAAGCACTAACTAATTATTAAGATCCCACCGTTTTTGAAATCTCACAACCCTTTTGGCTTTTCTATATTTATTCTAAAGATGACATAGACGAACGTTCTCAATATTGTACACAGCTAAGTATAGAATCAATTCAATATATTTTTTTCTAAAAGTATGCAAAATTATAACAAAAGTACAATATAGAAAAAGTGGAAATAGATCAACCCAAAAATGATAAAGGTGAATATAAAAAAGTGTAAATTTTTGAAAGTTCAACGAAACTAAAACAGTTCAGGTTGCCTTCACTAATAAAAAAATCAGTATACCTAATACATTGATACTACACTTAAAACATTGAATAGTGAAATTACAGCTAATAATCATTGGTTATTTGTGGCCAGTGATTTTGACTGTAATTTCACAGTCACTTTAGAATGATATTTACACTGATTCATTGTACAATTGCATTAATGACTGTAAAAACGCATTGGTTACTTTAAAATTCAAAATAAGCTTGTAATATTTATTATACAGTAAACACTACATTTTTCCACATGCAAGTAGTATTATTACAAACTACTCTGTTATTTAATCCTGTCATTTTTTTGACAAGTTGTGATTTTACCTTGTGAGTTATCTGTATTTTTACAACCCAGTACGTAATATCACCCTGTATGTTTTTACAAGTGTAAATTCACAGAATATTTTTAAAATTACAAGTGTATAACGTATTTATAAATATTGTGTCTACAAAATATTTGTAAATTAACCTATATGTTTTTATTTTGACAAAATTATTGTAAAAATCCCTTTTATTTTCTAATAATTACTGCATATTTGTAATTTTACAAATTTATTGCTACATTCCACAATGTGAAGCGAACATATAGATGTTGGAAATTTACAAAACATGTGTGAATCCGTTCATATATTTGTATTTTCACAAGATTATTGTAAGAACCTTTCATCATTTAAAATAACAAGTTAATCATCTAATTTTAAACAATTATTATTGTAAAATTGCAAGGTTGATGCTTACCTAAATATTGTTAATTTACAGGATATTAGTGAATTAACTCATAGATCTGTAACAATACTAAAAATTTTGTGTTTTCACTTTTTATTTTTCCACAAAAATGTAAAATTGCAAATAAGTTAGGTCCAAATAAATTCGTATTTTTTATACAATTAAAAAAAAGTTTATAATTTTAAGAACGGTGTAACTCTTTCTAGAGTAAAAATCACTATAAGTTATATTTACAACCAATAAGTTGTGAGACTTGCAGCTATTATCAAAAGCTTTTCAAATTCTGGTAACCAATTTTCAGTGGCACAAGGATCTTGAAAAACCACAACTGTCATGGAATTTAATAAAATTCTTTTGAAATTAAGATGCTAAAACGATGTAAGTATATTGCAATTCTGCATTATATGTGTGAATAACAGGATATATACGTATTTTTATAAGGTAATGTAAACTCACAGATGGTGTGTAAAATTACATTTGTAAAACGGATTTAAAAATATTTTATAACAACAAAATATTTGTAAATTAACCTATATACTTTTATTTTGACAAGATTATTGTAAAAGTAATTTTATTTTCTATTAATTACAGCAATAATGTAATTTTACAGAATTATTGTTAGATTACAAATGTAAAGCGAACTTATGGATATTGTCAAAGTTTTTTTTCATTGTAGGTACCAATTTTTTTTCAGTGTAGACCCACATTTTATTTCGGTGAAATACTTGACATGATCCTAGACACAAAATTATTTTATGTCACTTTACCGTACACATCTGTTACTTTTTCGAAGTATCGCATGAGAAATTGACAACTCTACGAATAGTAATCGAGATGCGCAAACTTGCGTTTTGAATTCTGTAAATGTTCTGGATGTGAAGAAACGTATAAAAAATCCTTTATCTATTGGGCAAGCTGATCTAGAAACAGTAATTAAGCCCTCTATAATAGACATTCCAAAACCAATTCCTTGCGTAATTCCACATTATAAATTCAATAATATTGTGACATTTTCGTCCATATTGCTGGCTGCAATTCACTCCTACTGACAATAAAATTAATATTGAAATTTAAAATTCCTTCTCAGAACTGTCGACATAGCCAACCAGTTAACAATTTCCAAAGCAAACTGTGATCTAATAATACATTTGTTATTACGTTATCGGTACAACTTGAGCCTTATATGGCAACATCTCGAGCCTAACCTCTAAGCGCGATTTCGAAAGAAAATATCTCCAAGCACAAACTTAATACCTTTTAATAATTTTTTTTTCTGTCTGTGCTATAACGCATGACTTACTGGCAATTATTCCGTATGCTAATAGATCTATGGGCTGTGTAATAATTGAAAAGAATAAAAAAAATTAGGATCGGATTTACATCGTGGAACTCAACCTTTGAATCAAGGTTTCGTGCTTAAAGGTTACGACACTTTGATCAAGGTGAATTTTTATGTTTTTTTTTTGTATATTTGTAGGTGAACAGGTGAATAATTTCAAATCTGGTTTGGCTTGTTTCAAATATTCACTGATTTTAATTATAAAGAAACAGATATATAGGTAAAAATTTTTTCACGAATCAGAAACACCTACAACAAATCTTCTTAATTTTGATATAAATAAAATAGCTAAAAAAAATTCTAACGACTTTTTACCTCGTTTCAAAACACTGGGATCAGTCTCTCGCCCGAACTCAACCCCTTTTACGCAGTTTTACCCCGAAATCCAAACATTTATCTTAATATACCATTAGCCCGACCGCGGTTAATTTGAATACACCCTTCATTAATTCACCTTGCAAATAAAAACCAACCCTCTATCGTTCGGCCCCCACTGCGATCATTTGTCACACTTGAAAGAAACCATTGTGACTAACCCTTGGGAAAATTTCTTCGCAGTTTCTGTAAGCTCGATGGAAGCTTATATAAACGAAATGAGTAAATAAACCTTCTCAATCACCCACCCCTTCGCACAGAGCCGGGTCTAAAATTAAAATGGGATGTTGGAAATAATTCTGGAAAGAATGATAATAGTGGGTCACAGGAAACGAAACTAATGGTAAACTGGGAAGGAAATGTATTCCGTACGTAACAACTTAACCGGTAGCCACAGCTAAAATTCTTTGACGCTCTGGAGGAAAATCTAAATTCATAGGATTAGAACCATTCAGTAAAAATGATTAGAATAGAAGATAATGACCAAATAAATGATTTGATTTTATTTTTATAAGCAAATTATTAAAAGACTAAAAAATCAAAACTACTATCAGTAGACATATCCTTTTTAATTTTATATGATTTAAAATAAATTAACTGTTTTTTGTAGATTATCATTAAAAGCATCCTGTTAATGAAATAGTCCTGCATCTAGATTCTTTTATAATTAATTTAAATAATAAATATAGATATGCAAATAAAAATATAAAAATAAAAAAAACTTGATCTATTAAATCTGAGCTACAAAAATGGAATGTTGTCATAAAATTTCTCTAGTCCCGTCTATTCTTGCTTTAAATAATTTTAATCGGATTCATTTTCTCGAGCTTTTATAAGTATCTGTTAATAGTGTGCAAATCAAAATACCGGCGCCATCTCTATGAACTTAATGAACAGAAACTACAGTAAAATACACCCGGGAGAGACATGGAAATTGCAGAAGTGGCGTCCTTTAGTCACGGAACTATAATTAATTATCTTGATAGTTGACGTTTAAAAATTAGCGGTAATTTTTGTTTACAATCAAATATTTTTCAAACTCTTGACGCTTTGAAGTTGATTGAGAACAATTTTATATATAATATATACATTTATAATGCGAGAAAAGGAAAAATTTAGATTCGTAAAATTCATAATTTTAATATAAATGCCATAATTCTTAATTGCTTTAACTTAAATTGGATATCTTTATTCAACAATTTATTGAAACATCTAAAGATCATTTATAACATATTTGCCTTAGGGGATCGATTTGACTTATTTGTTTCAGTTCTACTTTCAAATCATCTTCCATATGAACATGATTGATTTGCATATAATATAATAAAATATAATATACAAATTAATAAGGTAAAAATACTCATTTCCAATGTTTTTAATTTGACGTTGACATCTGATGTCAACTGTCAAAATTATTAGTAGTTCCGTGACCATTTCTTTAATTTGAATGTCTGTATATTTTACTGTAGTCTAACGAACAGCCCTCGTATTTAACAGTTTCACGCCTTAAAATCATGACTTTTCAATCAGTTGGTATTAAACAATCTCGAAATAGTCACAATTAAGTGCTACGCCCTGTGTAGTATATGTCGTAAATTTGTGAAATATCTAATTGCGAACATGTAAATGCTTTCGTGAGATGGTAATATCTATAAAAGCACGAACTTTCTGACATTTCCTTTACCTGTTGT